GTCTCCTCCCTCTCGCTCTGCCTCGTGGCTTGCCAGGACCCCCACTGTGTAGCGAGGGTCATGGGTCAGCAGCCACCAGAAGGTCTTCCCCCTATACAGCCCGAACTGCACCTCCATTTGGCTGAGAACGCAGCGTCGGTCTGTGGGATCCCCTCCGAGGGCCCTGACCCGACCCCGAGCTGCGGCTTCCACCTTCTGGGGCGTCCCGATGCCCAGCTTCTCCCTGCTGCCTCCTTCCCTCGCTTGCTGGGCGGCAGCTGCAGCTTCGCTGGAGGCCTGAAGCCGCAGCTGGGTGGTCCCAGGCAAAAAATTGAAATGGGGCTTGTACATGTTCACTGAAAAATGCAATAAAGTCCAGAATGAAAATCTCATCTGTTATTATGGATTCATAACTGATGAATAGAACTCATTAATAAACAAAGAACATAACAACATTGCTGTGTATGTATCTTTAATCRGAATGCATTACATTTAACATACAGCTGTTTACATGAGGCTGTTTACAGCACAGTATCTGTGCTGTAAACACTTAATATGAGAAAATCAGTGCATAACTATTGATTTGTCACTTGACATCTCATTATGTATTTTTTGATTTTCACAAACAATGACCTGGGCGACATTATCACTTCACCATTGAAGGACTTTGTTAAGTTTTAGGGAGGTAACGTAATTAACGGACTAACTACGGTTAAACCACAGGTAAAACCACAAAAACAGAAGCAAGTTCTTGGTAATATGATCCGAATGGTTAATTTAATTAATAAAATAATTTGTGTCTAGTTTGATTGCTTTATAGCGCAACAGATTTCGATCAAAATAATGTTAAATGCTTCTAAACGGGTTCCCACCGTCCACTGATTTCATTTACCGTGTCACGTCAACTTTTTCCGTATTTTAATAAAAACTATTACAAAATTGAAACTAAAAAGATAGTAAATACGTTACCAGAGAAAACGGAGCTGTATTTTTCCTTCAGATTACGCAGATACGTCTGATGCTCTGAGCACGTTCACCGTTACGCATCTTACGTCAACTGAGAGTAAGTGAGACAGYCTAACTGAGACTAAATGAGACTTACTGAGACGGAAAACATGGGGTGCCCGGGGGGGTTCTGATGGAGACACTAATGCTCCTTTTCAACTCACGCCTCTACAGCATGGTTCAACTTGGCTCTCCATGGTTCCAAGACTTTTCCACTGGCAAGGGTTCATGGAATCATCCCCTTCTTCAGAGATTACTTCYTTTGAATGAATGAATGAATGAATGAATTTTATTTATGAGGATAATATGCAATTAAAACATAAACATAAAAACATTTGATGCATTGCACCAGATTTAGCCTACTGCTAGTTTACATCTGTAGTCCTCCTAATAATAAAAACAAAACAACATCCAACAATAATAAAAACAAGAAAACAAAATAACAGAAAAATGAAAACAATACAATATAAAACATTTTACAATCAACAATAAAAATATATAAACACCTAACCCCACTCGCCAAACACAATGAAAAGGTTATTTCACTAAACATTCAACAAAAACCTCGCAACTCCCCCAAACCAAAAGCAAACTCTAAAGTCAAGTACCCAGTGCGATTCAGTGATTGCAACATTGAGTAGATTTAAGATACTTTTTAAGATTATTTTTAAAACTAATAAAAGAACTACAGGTTTTTACATGATCAGGAGCAGCATTCCACTGAGCGATGGCGTTAACTGAAAAAGCTGCTTGACCTAAGGCTGAGCGCCGAGCAGGAACTTCACAGTTCTACCTGGATGTTCTGGTTAAGCGCAAAAAAACATCTGAACGATAATAAACCAATTTTTGCAAACAGATTGGTGCTAAACCATTTAAAATCTTATATACTGTTTCCATATTCTGTGGTTCTAAGTAGACCATGTGTAGGGGTCACCTCGAGTGAAGAAACAGGAGTTACTGCCTCAAAGCAGGTCTCGGACAGGCCTGAGAGAAGGCAGGAACACTGAACTCTATTTTAGGCCATGATGGGTCATTTCAACATGTGATGGAGGACTTCAGTTCTCTAATCAGATATTAAACAGAAACAATCTGTTCTGTTCATGATTCATTGGTTGTTTAACTAAGAATGTTTATGCATCTGTTAATCATAATAATGACATGTCACAAAGAAAGAAAGAATCACCTCTATTCTTTTATCGTGCCTAAAAAAGATTAATGAATAGTATAAAATCACAGAAAATCATCACCATGTTTTCATTGTGTTTTTATAAATCACGGTTTTATTTTACTGAAACATCAGTAATATAATTTTGAGTTTTTCTTAAGAAAATCTTACATTTATATGGACACCAAGTTCAGACTGATTATTTAAACAGAAATGTTAATTAATCATCATAAATGTTTCACAGTGATTCCTCTTACAGTCTATCAGAAAGAAGCTAAGAAGATATTATCATAATGTCTGTGAAACAGCTACAGAGCAATGACCTTGACTGGCGTCTGGCAACTCTCTTATCTTCTTTGATTTTCCTGACTCATGCAAAACGCCTCAGGGCGGATCTAAGTCGTCCCTCTTTCTTACTAACACGGACGTCTTGGAGAGACACAGGAGTTCCTTCCTGGATGCCGATACGGGAAGAGGGGCTGAACAGCCGGGCCGCAGGTTTGACTCAAGAGCCAATTCGAGTCGGCTTGTTGGCCAGGGCAGGAGCACGCTGCTTCTGTCCACCTAGAGACCCAGGTCTCTTTAAGTGTTTTCAAGTTGAAACACTGAAAACGTTGGTCATGCGTTGGTTGCGAGTCACTGGTTGTGTCACAAGAGCTACTCTTACAACAACCCAGTCCGCCACTTGCAATAACAACATGACCATGTCCTTTATTGTGTTGTGTATCTTTTCAGGGTCTTCTTCGTCTACTATGTTTAATGGTGTTAAATGGATTAATGGAGCATAAACCCCACCAGCTGGTAAAGCATCAATTTTGGAACTCTGGGACCACTCAATATAAAGATGAACCCACCCACGACTAGAGCTGTTACTGGACTGTAATGGAAAACCACCTGAACAGTTGTGATCAGAGTTCAGCCAAGTTGAACTGTGCTGTCGAGGCGCTAGTGGAAAAGGGGCTTAACAGTTTCTTGGGATCTACCACCACTGCCTTCTCTTGCTTGTTGGTCACAGTGTCCGGTTGGTCAACCATCACCTGTTTGGATCGGAAAGTCCCTCCGTTATCTCCACATTGATTCTGGGACCTCCGGTTCATGGTCAGCTCAAATGTTCCTGAACTACTCCAGCCTCTTGGTTAATGCGCTCCATGATGTATGCTGAGAGTTGGTGCAATGAAGTCCCACGAATTTGGTGCAGAAAGCTCAGAGGTTTGTAGAAATTAACAAAAAAAAAAAAAACATCAAGCAAAACAAGAATGGAGCCGTGGTGAAAGTTTAAGTTTTATAGAGTTGCTTTAAAAAGACATCAACGTGACCAGTTTATTAACTCACCCGGCTGTCGATTGGTGTTTCATTAATTAAGCTTATGTCTCTGTGCTGCAGCGTTTTAATAACCCGGGCCAGTTAAACTCATGCCTCACTGTAAAAGATGGATAATTAACTGTCCTCGGCTGAACTCCGGTTGGGGGAAATCTTGGAAACAAAGCAGCTTTTCTGAGCTTGGTTTGTTTTAAAACATCTTTAACAGTTTTTTTTTTCTGAAGCACAAAGCAGACAATTCATTAACACACCAGGAAATTGTCAATTTGTGAAAAAGAAGTCAAACGTATCTCCTGTTATCTCTTCTGTTGTTTCAATCTAAATGAGCTATTTTTACCTCGTTATCATGAGTAAACATGTTTCTATTTGAGATAATGAGGTGTTTATGGTGCCAACATGAATGTTTCCTGTTCCACGCTCAGTTTCATCATTAGTACCTCTCTCATGACACCTGGAGTTGATCTATGATCATGTGTTGATCAGTGATGATGGCCCTCAATGTGACATTTTTACACCTGGAATGAGTCGCCAACATCGCTTTCCAGAGTTCTAAAGAAACACTTTTGTTTGGTTATGAATTTGAAAAAGTTTTAGCTGTCAAAAGGCATAATGTTTCAAATTGAAAATAAAATAAAATAAAATAAACATTAATCTTGAGAAAACAATCTTTGTTATCTCAAAGTAATGAGATAAATAAGTTGAAGATTACTTGATGAAAATATGTCCTGATGCATCTCAGTAATCCAGGTAGAAAAATCAAAAAGAAAAAATGAGTAGGTCCTCTGGARGGGTTCTTCTTTAGTGAAACGTTTCTTCTCTCCTCCAAGAGACTTCTTCAGTCTGAGAGTTTCAGGTGAACTCAGCCTTATAAGCTCTGCCTCCACATGGTGGACAAACAGGTTAGTCACACAGGTTGAGCTAGCACAGACGAGCTACTTCGTCAGGTCAGGACTCTGCAGTTTACACTCATCTACAGGCCAGCGGTCACTCTTTCAGGGATGAAGATGTTCTCATCCTTGATAGAGAGGAACGTTGGTTTGAGAGAGGAGTAAAGGAAGCCATCTTTGTGAAGAAAAACCTTCCACCATTAAACAGAGGTGGAGGCCTTCATGTCCAGTTGTCCTCCTCCTACAACGCTCTTATTGCAAGTATGACTCAGCTCCCTGTGAGCAAAAGGTGTGAATCATGGCCCCAATGATCCCCAACAGAGTTAATCAAGCCTATTGTTAGGTGATGGTCCTCTTTTGCATGTGACTAACCTGTTTGTCCATGTGGAGGCAGTGCTTATAAGGCTGAGTTCACCTGAAACTCATCAGACTGAAGAAGTCTCTTGGAGGAGAGARGAAACGTTTCACTAAAGAAGAACCCATCCAGAGGACCTACTTATTTTTTCTTTTTGACTTGATGAAAATAAACTTCCAGACATGTCCTCTCTCAGTTTCTGTACACTAGAAGAGTGGAACCAGTTGACTTAACTTGGTTAAGTAAATCCAACACAACTGTTTTTTSAGTGTAGCTATGGGAACTTATTTCTTGATTTTTACTGAGCATCCTACATTGATGACATCATATTTATCTCCTAATTTGAGATAATTTCCTAATTTCGAATAAACCTGTTTTACTGCCTCTAAATAATTGTCACACAAGATGTTATCTCATAATTACGAATTAGGATCTCATTAGATAATGTCACAAGTTTACATCAGTACCTGACTGATGTGAAATAACAACAATTGAACTTAGCGTTGTTCAACTATGAGCTGCTAAGATATAATTTATTGAAAGACATTCATTATTATCATTCATTATTATGATGTACCAATATTTATGAGATTCTTAGTGGTAATTATAAGATTCAAGTTAAATAAGAACAGGCAGGTCATATTTTTGAGGTGATGCATTTTTTTCTCCTTCACAGAGCTGGAAACGGGCTAACATGCTAAGTACTTTTTTTATTTATCTTTATTTGTAAGTAAATTAAAGCAAGGGCACAAATCTTAAATTTTGCAGTTTTTTAATGGACTGTACATGTTTAGCACCTTTCTATCCAACCAGGACACTCAAAGCTCTTCACACTACAACCTGTCCTCATTTACCCATCCACACAGCACTCCACCAGATCTCCTACAAAGCTAACATGTACAATCATCTATGGAGACTAATCAGTGCAAATCACATTCATACACTGATGGGACACACATCAGAGGCATTAGGGGTGAAGTGTCTTGCCCAAGGACACAACAACTGAGACAGCTGGACAGGGGATCGAACCAGTGACCTTCCAGTTCCAGGACGACTCCCCTAACAGCCTCCCTGAGTTGTTTATTTTTACATCAGTAAATTATGTCCTGAATGAGACCTGATTAAAGAGAAGCTCTGATGTGTGTTGCCATGATATTTAAGCTGTTGTCAGTCATGCAGCAGGTGTGTCACTCCCTGACTTGGTCCTGGCAGATAAGCGCAGCAGTAGCCTGGCTTTGCTGACCCAGTTTTGACACTGGAACGTTCCCAGGAAGGCCCTGCGGAACCTGTCCCCTGAGAGCGTGTACAAAGCTAGATTAAAGAAGGTGTTGAGTCCTGCCAGAGGGCGGGAGATGATGTACGCCGCCTGCACCGTGTTCGCAGCACACGCCGTCATCATAGCGTTCTGAGCTTCCACCCACAGCACACGCAGGATGTGATACGGCAGGAAGCATAGGACAAAAACCACCAGGATGAGCACCGTCACGCACCGAGCTCGCATCCGGCAGGAGCTGCTGGGGTCGGGCCCTGTGGTCAGCTGCTTCACGATACCAACGTAACAAACCAGAACCAGGACCAGAGGCAGAACATAACCGAGCGCAGTGAGAACCCAGACGTACTCCCGCACGGCGCTGACTGGCCTGGTGCTGGCAAAGTCCAAGCAGTGCGTGTTGTTGTCCTCGTGGCGTAGGGAGATCAGGGCRAGCATGGGAGTGACCTCGGCAGCGGCCAGGATCCAGACCACCGAGCACGCCGTGACGCCCCAAACCCTCCGCTGCAGCTGGACTCCCCTCAACGGCCAGATCACCGCCATGTATCGAAAGACGGCCATACAGGACAGGAGTAGGACACTGCCATAAAGATGGAAATGGAAAGCGAAGCGCACAAAGCGGCACAGGAAGTCTCCGAGGATCCACGAGTCCCCGTTGGCGTAGTAGTGGACCAGGAAAGGCATGGTGAGGACGTAGAGGAGGTCACTGAGCGCCAGGTTGACCATGATGATGCTGCTGCTCTTCCAGGGGCGGAGCTTGGTCAGGTAAATACTGATGGAGATCATGTTTCCCAGCAGGCCCACGACACAGATGATGCTGTAGGAGACTGGGAGGTAGTACCGGTTCAAAAGCCCCTCCCAGCTGGTGCAGCCGGGATACATGCTGGCCATTGCAACACCTGTCAGAAACAAGTAAAGTTATTTTATCAAGGAGTTTAAACTTCTTACTTTTGCAAAAATAAACAAAGAGTCCCACAGATGAGGCTCAGGGGAAACAGAAATGGTGGAGAGTCTTGTTAAGTTTAARTTTAGAAAAACCAGAATCAAAATATGTCCAATTTTTTAGGAAGTCGTTGAATACTTTTGTACCTAACTCTGTTCTGTGGAAAGGTTATGAACAGTTAATATCTTATCTTGTGCTTAGCTTTTTGAATGACCTCAGCAAAATAAACTGAACTGACAAGCTAATGGCTGGTCTGAGCTAAGTGGACTGTTGTCTTAAAACATACTTTAGTTTGTGTGAACTCTAATTTCATAACTCTTTTGGTTTGGTTTATGTCAAATAATAATTTGAACATAAATCTATGTTTATCATCAAACAGCAGCAGCAGCTAGCTGTAGCACAGGCTACTCTGATACACTTAAATATTCTGCTGGAACAAATGTGTAATGCAAAAATGACAAGATTTAAAAGTCTAAATAAGAGCATTATGATTGTTTTTGATTTTTTTTTCCAAACGAAGGCTGTTAAAAAAATCAATCATAATTATTGTTTTTTAAATAAAACCCCACTTCAAAAGATCTGTCCTTTTAAAAAAGTTCAAAGAAACTAATAATTTATATTTTTAAATAGTGGGTTTTAGGCCCGGTCCACACAAGTCTGGAAACATTTTAAACTGATAATTTTATCTTCATCCATACGTTTGAACAAAAACACTGAAGCACCCAGAACTGACCACTAGGTGGCGACAGTGTCTACATGAATGATTTTTTAAAACAGAAAAAAATGGGGCTAAAAAATTCTCCCAAAATAATTAAAGATCATTTTTGTTTTAGATACAGTTTACAGTTTCCTTCAAGTTTTTAATTGTTTCCACACAAAATAAAGACAAGAACAAAATAAATGAAGAAAGATGAAGTAAAAAAAATTACAGTAAGTAAAAATGGAACTTTACGACTTATTTTCTATTGTTTAAAAAGACTTTTAGAGAAGGTATATTTTATAAACTACAGCTTAGTGGTCTAAATAAATAAAAACAAGATATTCTGAATGTAAGACTTCCAAACATTAATCCACAGACCCAACAGATACAGTATTTGTGTCTGTCATAAACAGATAAATACAGAAGTTAAAAAAATAACACGTTCACTGTATTTTTGATGACCTTAGAAGTTGACGACATATTCACATCTGTTTCCATTTGCTATTCATAAATTACACACATCCATCATACTCACACACACAGAAGAACACAAAGTTCCGATTGATGGTCGACAGCACCAACTTCAAAATTTATCTAATAATAAACAGAAAAAAGAAAGTTTGGCTTGTGTATGTCYTCAGCAGAAGGTTCTGGAGAGAGAAGAACCTGGTGAGCAGAACCAGGTGGGAAAAAAAATGATCAGACCACCTGAAACCAAGAAACTCTCCTGTTTCCTCGGCTTCAGCTGGGTTACTGTAAACCTCTGAGGATTAAACATCTGCAGACGGCTCAGTTACACAAATTGTGATGTCATGAAGAGAAAACCTGTTTTTATCGCCTACAGGTGAAGAGATGGGAGTTTATATAGGTATGTGTGTGTGTGTGTGTGTGTGTGTGTGTGTGTGTGTGTGTGTGTGTG